CGCAGCGTCGGGCCCGGGCCCTGCCCCGCGGCCGGAGCCGCCCGCAAGGGCTGAGAGAAAGCCACGGAAAACACAAGGCGCTTTAAAGAGGGCTCGGAAATGCCCGCATTTGGCATTTAGGGAGTTAAATAGCCTCGGTGAAGGGCGGGTGTCAGGCTGTGCACAGGGAATAAGAAAAGGCAGAATTACTGATCTAAGTAAGTCTCCCCCACTGCGCGCTGTATTTTAACTTCTTTTACTCTCAGGTGAAAATTCATGGATTAGGAGATACTTAAAGTTCTAAAATTCTTCACGGTTTGGAAAAGGAGGGAAAAAAACAGCGAGAAAAATTAAAATTCCGAGTGATTATTCCCAATGTCATCTGTTTTTAAGGCACGGGGGTGAGAGGATAAGGTATGACCTGCACCCAGGTAACTCCGCTGTAAACCTGAAGCGGATTTAAAAGAGAAAAAGCATCAGGATTATTTTAAAGAACGCAGCTTGCTTCGTGAAAAGTTTCACCCAGCTGTAAATAACACTGGTTAGAACCTCCAACACCCTAAAATAACTTGCACAGAGCTCAAAGATAACACAGCTTGAGCCACCAGTGACACGCGTTAAAGAACAGCAACGAGGAAAATAACAGTCCTTGCAAATATACAGCAGATTACATGTCAGCTGTATTTTAAAAATATTTTCAGAGGATTATTCCCAGTAGTACAAACAGTAATTAATTCCTCTGATCAATAAGTATTTAGTAATTTGTTTCTTAATGTTTGTTTTTGGTAGTTCCAGGCAAGACAAGGGCTCTGCAAAGCAATTAACTAAATATCCTGCCCTTCCTTAGGCAAACAAATCCTTCTTCCATCACACAACCCACCTGAACATTTAGTTCTCCTCAGTACTGCCCTTCATATTAAATCGATTTAGATTTAAATGGAATTTAGTGAATTTAGGTTACAGTTACGGACATTCCTAGCAAGGACAAGAAAGTCGATTTCCACCACAGAATATCTCTTTAATCCGTAATTCACAAAAATCTTTGTGACCCATAGTCAGAGAACTATCAATGGCTATGGAAAAAAGCATTGCAAAAGGAACACCAGAGTTATCTTTGATGTATCATGGGGACAGACTCATTTCTCCTCAGGAAATAGGAATCATGTAGTTTTCATGTAGCTTTGTGGCCTTATTTTATCAGTCAGGTCAGGAATAAATGGCTCATGCTGGGAGAGAACTGATTTGATGCCAAAAGCAGCAATTTTAAGCTGCAGATGTAGTTCAACATAGGGTTTTATGTTTTAAGGTTTTATACAACAAACTTCAGCTATTTTATTTCCAGTATTTACAAACTGGCTTCTTACTTTTTCCTACAAGAATCAGCTTACTGGGGTAAACAAGCCAGTTGCAAGGTATCTTCCCTCTGTCCAGTGAGGCTCCAAGGGCTCCTTCAGGATAATTTTACGTTAATGCAACTCTAAATTTTTAATCAGTGTTATTGTATTGTTAATTAATTGTCACTGTTTTATACTGCAATAGAACTGAGTTTGGACAGCACATGTAAAACAAAAAGGACATTCAAGCCCTCCCCATTTCTGACTACTTTTAATTTTTGTGTCACAAGTGCTGTCTACCCAGAATCTAACAGGTTGTTTATTTTATCTAATACATACAAGCTACTCTCAGAAAATACTTACAGTGGATCTGGATCTTACTGGAATTGTGCTGGATTAGTTCTCTGAGTGTTTCATTCCTGTTCCTTGTTTTTTTTCTCATTTTGGTTTGGTTTTGCTCATGATTTAGGGCAAAAGCCTCTGACTGAATGATGATTTCTGCTTTTAAATTTTAGCCTGGAAGAGTTGTGACCCTGGTTGAAGATGCTGAGGTACAGTACTGCTGTACAGAATGTCCTGTTGCATTTCCCCTCATTAATTTTTGCTTTTCTACAAGCAGATAACTTGTCTTATCTTTAGGGAAAAGTTCTCTCAGCGTTTCCCAGAGTTACACCAATGGCTCTTGTTTCAAGTAATCAATATAAACTGGAAGTAGTTTGGGTCTGTTATTACCACAGTGATATTTTAAAGTATATTCTGGAATAGTCACTTTGGCTATCCAGTTGTGAGATGCAGAATTTGATATAAAGATATATCAAACATACATGATTTGATACCAGCATCAAATGATAAATGCAATTGTTTTAATTTCAATTTTCAATTTACAATGCGTAACCAGATTGTGGAGTTATCTCAGCACACCACACCAGTTCAGGTGTGTAACAGGTGTGGGTGACCCTCAGGTCCTTGCCAAACTGTCACTAAACAGAAGGGACCTGATCAAAATTCCTTCAAATTCAGCATTATTTAAATTTGTCATTTTCAGACATTAATTTTATGAGGTCAGGGAGAAACTCTGTGTCCTTTCTGCCAGCTCCTAAGTGGTTTGTACCAAGGCTACTTTCTACTCCAAATATTAACAAAACAAGAAATTGTTCTGCTAGAAAAACCTCAGCATTAGCAGAAGGAGGACGATCAATTTGCATGATCTGTGTTTTCACTGATAATTGCCTGAATAAAGCAGCCCTTTTGTTTTGGGACTCTTTACAAAGAGTGCAGAAAAGAGGCAGAAGGGCAGGAAATGAGTTTACTGTAAGTTTTGCCTAAACACGGGGATTTCTGAGTATCCTTTTAACCACTTCTCCCGGGCCAGGGGTGCGTGTGGGGCGTTGCTTACAGATTACCGGCTGGGAAGGAAGGAGAAGTGAAGGCCTACCTGGATTTCCGGGAGAAGGGCGGCTACAGGACCACCACGGTCATCTTCTACCCGAAGGACCCGTCAGTGCAGCCCTTCGACGTGCTGCTGTACATCGGCACCCGCGACAACCCCAACTACCTGGGCCCCGCGCCGCTCGAGGACATTGCGCGCCAGATCCTGGGCGCCGCCGGGCCTAGCGGCAGGAACACGGAATATCTGTTTGAGCTGGCCAACTCCATCAGGAACCTCGTGCCAGAGGATGTGGATGAGCACCTCTTCTCCTTAGAGACACTGGTCAAGGAGCTCTTGAACAAGCACCAAAATCTCAACTGTCTATAAAGTAACAACAAGCTGGTTCTGTCGTCAGAGAAGAGGTTTTGTTGGCCATGGGCATGTGACGGGGAGGAGTGTTCCTCTGTATTGTGCTATCCTAATTAATACTGCATATCTTAATTAATGCTGCATTCAGAATAGGAGTTGGTTGCCTAAAGCGAAACTGCCAAAATCATTCTTCAAGGAGTCCGGAGAAAGGCGAGCAAGGAAAGTGTTCTAGGTTTGAATTTTGTATCTTAGCTTTTCATCCAAAGACTACACCTCAGGACAACCACTTAAACTTCTCTTTATGTTTTGTTATTATTTTAGGTTTCAAATAAATCTTTAGAATACTTTTGACTTCAAAATCAGCATGCAGAAACATAGTTCCAAAGGTCTAAGTGATAGTTTGTTCTGATTCCAGACCACAGTGCAGGAATTTTAAGTGATTGGCCTAAATTGTGTAGTAGAACATTTATATCAACATTCAACTCCTCTGAAATGAAGTTACACCACTGAATTAGTCATCTCACCCTTTAGATGTTAATTTATCCTTAAATGCAGAGGAATAAACCATTTTATTGTAAAGGAAATAATTCTTTCCCTTGGCTGCTGATGTCAAGCCCTGAAAACCAAAACTCTGGGCACTCTGACTCAAACAAGCCATAACCTATCAGTGCCTCATTTTAATTTTTAATCAAGGATAGATTTTAGTTTCAGGAATTCACCAACAGAAGGTAATTAAGGAAAGAACCCTCTTTCCAGTAACCTTAGGGGTGTGTATGGACATCCCAAGAGGGTTGGGAAGCCCCCAGTTCAGGGTAGTTTTATTCCTGATGCAATCCATCAGCACACGGAGTCTCCGTCCCAACATGAGATTTGTCTCACTCCTCAAAACTTTTATTTTTATTAACTTTTAACTGAGTATATTTTTATATCTTAATATAAAAGGTCCTGTTTCAGACACCATGTAACGCCCTGATTTCCCACTCAAGGAATGTGTGTTTTGTAGTAGCCTGGAAGCCTGGATTCTGTATCAGTAATTGCAAAAAAAGCGTGGTTTTCCCTTAAAAAGGCTGACCCTTCTTTATATCTTCCTGGTTTATATTTGTAAAGGTAAAAATGTGCAATGGCGCTCTCTGCTTTCTTGAAAATTCTTTTTAGGTTTAAAAACTCTCCTCAAAGACTTACCCTTGTTCCTTAAAACAGGGCAGGGGATGCTTGTGCTCAGTAATGATCCAGAACTATCAGGGCTGAATCCCCCTCTAAAATGCTAATTATTTAAGTACTGTGATTCTGTGCAGCTCCACATTCTCTGTCTTTAATTGTCTCCAAGGCTTTGTTGGTTCACTTGCTTCCCAAATCCATAAACCATTGCAATAATACACGTTCCTGTGTGCGTGTGTACAACTTCAGTGCAATAAAAAATGCATTACAACAACTAATGGCATTGGAAATTTGCAGAAATGTTATGTATAAAGTGTGTCTGTGTGAGGATGGACATCAAGGTGTGTGTTTATTATGCCTCGCTATAAAATGGCTCTTGGGGCTGAGAATGACAAACAACACACAGGGGCTGCTATTAACATTAGGAATTAATTACAGCACGGGAAATATAAATATATACATTTGTTCTTGCTGTGTGGGATTGAAGCCACTGCTCTGCCCCCAGCTTTGGCCACTACCAAAAACCTCCCAGATCTGTTACCTCAACCATTTTAGGCCATTTAGGCATCATTTTTTTTTCTGACTGCTTAAACTCAATCTCTATTTGTGCAAATACAAATTTTAGATCTGTAGGCTTCACTGCACAACCACGCACACAACGGCGCTGCTAAGCCTGTTCTCAGACAGTGTTTGGGGAAACAACAGACACATCCATGACTATTAACAGAAGATAATGCAGAGAGGAGGGAGAGGGAAATCCAGACTTAAGGGTTGGACTCTGTGATCTCCAAGGTATTTTCTATCCAGAATAACTCCAAGGCTCTGCAATAAGGGGATTCTCTGTAGCACAGCCAGTTAACTTCCTGTCTTTCCTTCAATTATTTATCTTGAATAAATAATATATATTTATTATTATTTATCCATGGTTCAGATGGGACTGGCCTAACCTGCTCTGATGCGAAGAATCCCCTTGGGTTCTCAGGTGTATTGATACTCATTCACACGTATATATATACATATATGTACACAGGTGTACAGAGAAACACCCAGAGGAGCCCTCAAAGTGCTCTTTTACACTCATAACCTCATACATACGGGTTTAACCCTTAGCACTGCCAATAATGACCAAAGTTAATTACTCGCATTCCCCTCTTCATTCCCTCATTCTCCCCGTCGTTTTACCCCTCCCTCACTCCCCTCACTCATTCCCTCATTCACACTCCTCCCTCCCACTCCTCAGTCCTACTTCTCCCTCACACTCATTCCCTCATTTACAGTCCTCATCCAAATTCCTCACTCCCTCACACTTCTCCCCCATCACTCACTCCCTAACACTCACTCCCTCACACTCACTCCCTCCCTTCCCCTCACACTCACTCCCTCACACTCCCTCACTCACTCACTCCCTTCCCCTCACACTCCCTCACTCCCTTCCACTCACTCCCTCCTCATTCCCCCCCGGTCCCTGGCTCGCTCCGTGCCCGCCCGGCCCCTCACCTGTGGCCGCTGCCCCGGATGCCGCT